CCTTCCAAGTTGCTTTTCTTACGTTGTTGCTGCCCTTCTATAACTTCTTGTCCTCGTTTTGCTCAATTAACTCTGCATCAATTCAGTGCCAGGATTCTCTGAGGTCATTTCTTAAGGAATTTCCTATAGCACAATGATATTTTATTGTATTTGTAAAAGGGACAGATAGGCCTGGTCACAGGCACTACTGAGGGCTCCCTCGTGAGAGAAGCTGGGGAGCTTCCTGCAGGAAGAGGTGATATGACATTTAATGGAATTTCGTAGACCTCCCCTGGATCATGCATTGAGTTTCTGCAATGGCCTTATGTGCCAACTTGTGTCTGCAACAAGAAGCCCTTTCGGATTGTTGGCACTGAACCGGAGACACCTTTCCAAGGCCCAAGTCAGCTTTCACCTTATCTCTTTGGACTGTAGGGAGAGAATCTGCACTTTCTTCCCTCTGAGGCCAAGGCCTCTGGCCCAGTCAAATAATAAGGGAGCAGCTGCTGACCACTTGAAGGTTTATATGTTACAAATGTGACGGGAGCTGCCAGAGGTCCTTCTAATAGCCCTCCTTGAGGTGGGGGGCGTTTGAAAAGGGAATTACCTGGTGTAATTGGAGGCAGCAGAGGCCAAGTAGAGAAGGCAGCAAATGGTAGGCATCCCATAGGCATTCGTCCTCCCTATAGGGGTTTGGTGGGGGTGGGGGTGCTGCTGCTATTATACCTCTTTGAGGAGACTCAGAGGAAGATCCTTGCTGTATTCCCCAGGGCAGTGGTCCTAAGCTTTCATTTGTGAATATGTGTATGTGTGAGAGAGTGTGGTGTTGTGGGGATTAAAACTGTCCAACTTATAATAAAAGAGACTGAGGCAGAGCTCTGAGCTAAAGTCACTTTATTAAAGGATCCATGGCCCTCTCTAACGAAGTGGACCTCAGATCTTCCTCATGATCTGAGATGCCCCTTTCTTCTGGGGCCTTGTTTTTATAGGCTTTGATACCATATTTATTACCTAGACATTGTAAAGTGACTATAACAAATACAGAATTCCATTGGTTGACATATAAGCTAAAATAAACAAAAATGATCTGTCAGCAGGGTCACAAGTTGGGTGAACAAAGAATATCTCTGCTGACTAGGTGATAAGATGGCTGGGCTCTACCTTAGGTTAGGCAGGAGATGGCACATGCTATACATATGCTCCAAGGACATATTGGGGGGGCGGAGTGGGAGACTTTCCTTATCATGCCACTGATGGGGAACGGGCCTGATGAGGCCTAGAGGTTCAGAGGTGCTGAGACTCCAAAATTACAACACACAGGTACTACCCGAAAGAATTTGACCCAAGCCTTTCAGCCAAAGACAAGGTTTATTAAAGATCCACCATATTGGGCAGACTCAAGGAATCTGAGCACCTCTGAGCTATTGGCTAGATTATAAAAATCTGAGCACTTTAGTGGAGACAAGATGGAATTTATATTACAGAAAGACTGTGGGCGGGATCTAGGAGTAGCTAAGTAGTTTGGGGTGACTAGAGGAGGGGTCTAAGGAAGATCTGAATGAGAGTGTCCTTTACCCCTTGTCTCAAAAAGAATGCAGTTTGTTTGGGGGGGGGCCCAGAAAACCGTTAAACTTTTCTTGACCTCACTCTGGCCTCAAACCTGTTACCTGAGGCTATATTCCACTCCATGGTTTTTCCTTACCTACTCTCCTTATCTCGCTTTGAAAGCCCTAGCCCCACCTTTCAAACTTCAATCTCTCAGACATTCTAGTTGGAATTCTCCCTAAGTCACCTAGACCCTTTTCTCACCCCAAATTACTTGAGCGTATATAAGATCCACCCTAGCCCCCATTTAAACTCTGAGATTTTCTCATGCCAGCTCTGTCCTTATAGGCATCACTAATGTTCAGATTCCTTAAGAATCTGGCCTGTATGGTTTATCTCTAATAAACTTTTTCTCTGGCTGAAAGAAGATTTGAGTTGAATTCATTCAGGCAGGGCTCGCATTGTCATGATTTTGGGGTCCCAGCACCCCTAAACCTCCTCATCACTACCATCCATGCTTGGTTTGGTCAGGGAATTTGAGCAAAATAGGATGGAGATATCTTTGTCACAGTTCTTGTGATTTTGCAAATGAGCCTCATAAGTTGGTAAACTAGTAGAAAACATAACATTAAAGTTTGAGGCCTATTATAAGGCCCTCCTATTAGAATCTATATTCCATACAAAATATGGATTAATATATTGCTTATTCTTATACCCATTAAGTGATTGACTAGATATGTATTACTAGATATATATTAAAATAATTACTAACAATCATTACCCCCCTATAAAATCATAATGAACTAATACTGATTAGAGTTTGAGTAGGGGTCCTCATTGAATCATTTCTCTCAGTGTGAGTGTGTATATGTGTGAACATGTGTGTTGCATATGTGGTGGGTGTGTGTGTGTGTGTGTGTGTGTGTGTGTGTGTGTGTGTGAGAGAGAGAGATGAAAGTGTGATGATTTCTCCTTCACTTGTCTGCTAAGGTATGAAAACCCAGTCACAAAAAGCTGATGGGGGAAATTTCAAATTTCAGGCTCTCCACTAGCAGCAGTGGTCAGTGTGAACCTGATCTTTACCTCTTCCTTTTGGATTTTGCTTTTGCAAAAATATTTGAATCTCTGTGTGAGGGAATGATCCTTTCTGGGACAGGTCAACCTAGAAAGGAGATTAAGATTCTTGGCTAATGGGGGACTGGAGCCGTTTGATCAGTCAAGGATCATCTGAGGGAATGAGTCCTGCCCTTAGGCTGTGAAGACCCCAAGACAGTGCCCTGAGAAGGGGAAGGCAGGAGTAGCTAAGATGGCAGTCTTGCTTGCACATGGCCCAGGATGTGAGCTGCTGACTTGGCACTGAGGATGCCGGGGTTCTCCTGATCCCACAGTTTGGTAGTTCTCCCCACTTCCTGAAATTATCCCATGTTTACTTTGGATACAGAAAGAAATGTCTTCCCTCCCACTGAGAGGCCGAATAACTCAGGAGTGCCACCTGTTGGCTAGCATAGACTTTGCAACCCACATAACCATATTAGCTATAGCCTGTATTGATGCCAATATAAAATGTGTGTGTGTGTGTGTGTGTGTGTGTGTGTGTGTGTGAAGTTATACCCACTTACAGAATAAATACAAAGTAATTTCAGGAGGGGCTGAATACCAGCAACCAGGAGGATTAGGAAAGAGGACAGGTAGAAAGTAGCACCTAAGCTGAGGGTATATCAGGTATGGGCACAGCCAGTACAAAGCATAGGCAGACTGCATGGCTAACAATTGTGATGGTGGAATGACAGAAGAGAGATCTGGAGAGGTCGATTTGACATGCTGGGATGATGGTTTTGTATTTTATATCAGAGGTAAAAGCCAAGGAATCTACTTAAGCAGGGCATAAGATGTTAAGATATCTTTGAGGCCCTTTATGTTATCAGTTTGTGGAGGACGGCTTGGGGAGGGGAGGGGAGAGCCTGGAGGGCCAGTTAGGAGGGTATTGCAGGAGTCCCAGGGAAAGATAACAAGGGCTTGAGTCAAAGTAAGGCCTGATTGTATATGCAGGGCCGGATGTGAGAGAGCTTTTGGAGGTTAATGAGTGACTGGCAGTGTTTGGAGGTAAAGAATCAAGGATAATGCAGAGATTGTGAACTGGGGTGACTGGCATGACAGGGTGCCTGGGAGAGAAATAAGGAAGGTAGGAGGAGGGTTCAGTTTCGGGGGGGGGGAAGAGTGAATTCTGCTTGGGGCATGTTGAATTTGAGCCGCTTATAGGACATCTAGCTGGAGAGGGCCAGCAGACAATTGGAGTAGCAGGACTAGTGCTGTGGAGAGAGAGGGCTGCATATGTGGACCTAGGAGTCTCCTGTGTAGACATGATAGTTGAATACATGGAAACTGTTGCAGCCACCGTGAGTGACTTAGAAGAGAAGAGGCCCAGGACAGATCTCAGGGCCTGGCCTACATGTAGGAGGCAGTCATGGATGTAAAGTTGTCAGCAGGCTTGTTGGAGATCCTTGAGTTCAACCCTCATTTTACAGTGGAGGAGGAAACTGAAGGCCAGAGAAGCCCAAGGTCACATAGTCAGTGTCTAAGGCAGGATTAGAACCCAGGTTACTTGTGATGCCCCACTGACATGTATAATGATCAGCCGTGGAAACAGAACAAGCTTTCAGGTATCAGGACAGCCAGGTGAGAGCAGAGTCCCAAAAGCCAAAGGGAATGGGAATCAGTGTCACAGGCCCAGGAGGACGAGGAGCGTGGAAGCACCCGGCTCATTGTCTTGAATCACTGATGTCTAATAGTACTGGGGAGGCTTGGCATCTTCCAGTTGGATTACACTTGGTCTCACACTGGTCCCTTTGGTCCCAGAGGCACAGCACCACCAGAAACAGTGGATAGAAGTTGGAAAGAGGGCAACTTAGGACTGACGCCAGGAAAAAAACTTCCCGATGAAGAAGCGGCTCTCAGATGTTTTTTTGCTCCTGGCCCAGAATTTTTTGGGGTGAGGAATCCTGGCAACTCTGCAGGAGAATTGGGAGACTCTGGAATGCCCACTTCCCCTTCCATTAGCACATTCTTGTTTGGCTGAGCTCTTGAATCAAGCTCTGAGGAGCTTTGAGGTTAGCGTGTCCAGGAGTGGGCCAATCGAGTTTCTTTTGTAACTCCTGTCCCTATGGAAACCACAGAGTTCTAATTCTCCATCCCAGAAATGGGTTGCCTCCTCTGCCTGGGGCTGGGTAGGCACTAGTCCTCTCTGATCTCAACTCTTTTGACTAACACAATCAATGGAGTCTGTGTTTCAAACACTTTGTAACCTTAAAGTGCTACTCTATAAGCCTGCTGTCTTTTTAGTCAAGAGTAATTCCCACTGCTGCCTTCTTCAAGATGAAGCTTAAAAAATGACTCTTCTATAAAGAACGGATCTTAGTGCCTCTCCTGTGGACTTAGCAGTTTCTGTTCTGTAACACTGAAGAAAACATCTTAACCTGTTAGTCTGCCCGAAACAGTTTTTATTCTTTATTATTGTGTGCTTGAGAGAACTACAGAAACCCCTGAGGCTCCTCATGCCCTCAGGCACAAAACATGAGGGTGACCACAGGCCTTGAGTTAGGCCAGTATCTACCCTAAGCACATGAAGACTTCGCCAGGTGGAATGGGCACGTGAGAACAGCTTGTTTCAGCAACCATGAAGATGGCTGAAGCAGGTGGAGTGCTTAGAGGTTGGTCAGACATCCCAGACATCTATCCACTGAGGCCGTCCTGGGCCATCACTGTTTGTCCTGACTTTTGTCATGCCACTGGACTGGGATGATTCTGGGAGAGTGAGGCTGATGGCTTTCTCCAGCTCTACCTCACTTAAATCCAATTCGCGAAAGAGTCAAGATATCACCCAGTAATGTCATTGGGCCTCCTTGAAAAAGAAGCACAAACAACAATTACTTCAGATACACTGCCTTTTCGTGGGTCTGGAGTCTTCCACCGATGGGCCTCCAGCAGTGATCTTAACTAGATTGGAGGGTTTCTTGTTCTAGATCTGGTAACCTTCTTGATCCATTGGGGTTGGAAGGCTGACCTTCCACACACCTTCGCGAGAGAAAGAGGTTAGGTCTCAGAGAAGGGGGAAAGGTCTGGCAAGGACTTTAGAGACATTTATTTCCTAATATTTTTAGGGGACTTAAAAGGAGGTCTTCAAGATGCTTCTGCTTTGTTATAGTTAGTTGAAGCCATGTCACATCCCCTTAGTAGAGGGCAAATGCATGAGGGTGGAGACTATGTCCTCTCTACCTTTTCTGCAATTTGTAACTAACAAGGCAGAGGACAAAGTCTGCCTTAAAGTCCCAGGCTGGCAGCCTCTATCTAGGGTTCACAGACCAGCCCCATGCCTTATCAGCATCCAGGCAGTGCTCTGGAAGCATTATTTTGCTTCCACACGGACATGCTTGGGGCCTCTAGCACTCATCTGAGTGGCACTGAAGTTTGGGGAGGCCTGGCAGTGCCTTTTCCTATGGAGAGGGACGTGGGCCAAGACTGGCCTTCATCCCATCACATCCCCTCAGATTTGCTGTTCAAGTTCCCTCTCCTGGAGTCCTTCCTTCTCTCCATCCTTACTCTTTCATGCTTAACCTTTGGCTTCCTCCTAGTAAACAGCGGTCCTGGCCCCCAGGCCTCAGAAGGGGAGGTGAAGCTTGGTCAGCTGTTTCCTAAGAGCTGGGCCATCTGGCAGTACAAAGGGTTCTCAAGGTACTTGGCGTCTCCCACCCACTGTCCAGGGCTCAGCCTGTGGCCCCAGCTGCCTCCTCATTTCCCCTCACCCTGGGAGGGAGCCCTTGTAGCCCCTTCCCTTCTCTAGCTTCCTGCCTTTGGAAAGGCTACTTTTCCAGGCTGAGCCCTGACAAACAGAGAGGTGGGAGCTGGGTACTTTTCAGACAGACATTTGGCAGACTCACAGTCAAACAAAAAACCCAAACCAAACCAAAACCTTCTGAAATTCCCAGGCTCTCAGCCCAGTTGTTTCCTCTGGCCAGATCTGTTGTTCCTGATAAAGGGGGGAAGGGGGTTGGGGATGTTTGTTCCCACCCAGTATTAATTTCATCATGTGCCTCATTACACTGTCCCAGTCCTTATACTGGCAGTCAAGGCCTGTCCCATTTTGCCTGCCCCTCCCCTCCTTTCTGGCCTGCTGTCCCACTGGGCACCTCTCCCCCACCAGGCTGGCCTCTTTCATGTCAGCCTGTGCTCTCACTCTTCTCCTGCCCTCAAAATGCCCTTGTCCCTCCTCTTCACATGGCACAACTGAAAAAGAGGCCAGCACTGGCATCTCCAGAGTCTGCCCCTCGCTGCCTGGAGGGCACTGTACAGCTGGTTGGCTCAGCTCTCTTCTCTGCAAAATGAGGCAGCCTGCAGTCACGGCCAGACTGCTCTTTTCTGTGGGTGCCCACCCTTGGCAGTGGTCACCCCGATTCCAATTTCCATGCTGCTGCCTGGATGACCTTTCGAAGGCCCATCTTTGGTCCTGGCCCTCTCCCCAGCTCTGAAACTTTCAGCGGGGTCCCTGTGGCTGAGCATTCTTGTTGTTGTTGTTGTTGTTTTTTAGTGAGGCAATTGGGGTTAAGTGACTTGCCCAGAGTCACACAGCTAGGAAGTATTATGTGCCTGAGGCCAGATTTGAACTCAGGTCCTCCTGAATCCAGGGCCGGTGCTCTATCTACTGCACCACCTAGCTGCCCCTGAAATACAGCATTCTTAACCTGTGCGCCCTCAGGGGCCTGGCTTTCTAGTCCCAAAACTCCCCTTCAGAAGTTTGCCTCTGAGAATTTCACTCTGCCTTGTAGCTCTGCTCAGGTGACACCTTCACCAGGAAGCCTGACCTGATCTGTTTTATCCTGGCCCACACTGAGCTCCATGAAGAGGGCAGGGGTCCTGATTTACCTAAGCTGGGTTTCTTCCCCCAAGGCCTGGCTGGAGCTTCCTGCCCGGCAGACACTAAATAAATGTTATTGGATGAACTGAGGATGAGACAGCGCTGACCCAGTGGCTTGAGAAGCAGCCTCCTCATAGCCAGGAAGACCTGGGTTCCAGTCCCACCAGGAGAAGTCGGCTGTGTGACCCTGGGAAAGTGACTTTACCGCTGAGGGCTCTGGGCAGTTCTTTAAGACTGGGCATTTCAGAGACGATGCCCACCTGCACTTGTGCAGGGAGTCTCCTCTCCCATCACTTCCCTATTCTAATGATATCACGAATCCCCTCCATGAATGAATGACTTTCCTGCTCAGGCCTCCGGAGCCCTGGAAGGCTCATAAATGCTTTTTCTCAGCATCCTTTGGGGTAGCGTCGTTGGTGCCAGTGTTCTCGTCACCATTTATCCTAGCCAAAGCTAAACGCCCCAGGGATCATCTAGTCTCCAATCGCAGCATTTTTCAGTGCTTGGCACACAGTAGGTGCTTACCTGTTGCTTGCTGATAAGTGAAGATCGAGAATGAAACAGACTCGGAGAGGTTAAGGGACTTGTCCGGGGTCACACAGACTGCACGGCCCTAGCCAGACCACCGAGCCGACTGGGGAGGGTGGCCGGGCTGAGCTGAAGCCTGCGTCCGGCAGGCCTGGCCTCCGGCCAGCCGCTCGGATCCCGGGGGCGGGCCGGCTCCTCCTTAAGGAGGCGGAGCTCCCAGCCTGGGGTCTGGAGACTGCCCCGGAGCGCGCAGACTCGCCCTCGGAGCCGAAGCAGCGGTAGGTGAGTTCGCGTCCTCCCTACGCCGGAGCTCGGGAACCCCCCCCCTCCCCCGCCGCCGCCGCCTCGGACGCCCCGCTCACTCCCGCTTGTCTGTTCTTTCGTGCCCGCAGGCGAAACCGAAGCCCTCGCCGTCCACGTCGCCATGAGCCAAGACGCCGGGATGGATATGGCGGAGGTGGACATGAAGGAGGTGGAGCTCAACGAGCTGGAGCCCGAGAAGCAGCCCATGAACGCGGCCGCCCCGCCGTCCGCCGCCTCGGGGGGCGAAAAGAACGGCGTGGTCAAGGTCAAGGTGGCCGACGACGAGGCTGATGCTGCGGCCGCCGCGGCTGCCTCCAAGTTCACGGGCCTGTCCAAGGAGGAGCTGCTGAAGGTGGCCGGGAGCCCCGCGTGGGTGCGCACCCGCTGGGCCCTGCTGCTGCTCTTCTGGCTGGGCTGGCTGGGCATGCTGGCCGGTGCCGTGGTTATCATCGTGCAGGCGCCCCGCTGCCGCGAGCTGCCCGTGCAGCGCTGGTGGCACCAGGGTGCCCTGTACCGCATCGGATCTCTGAAGGCCTTCCAGGGCCAGCCCGAGAACGCCAACGGGAGTCTGGCTGGTGAGTCTGGCTGGAAAGGGGGTGTACCCTGGCTCCCTGCGGGTGGCGTTACGAATGGCTTCCCTACCCCACCTCCACGTGGCCCACTCCCTCAGAGCCGTCCTGGCTCCCGACCGCACCTGCTTGCTGAGGTCTCCACTCTCTCCGGCCCCGCCCCCCTCCCCATTCGGTGTAATCTGGGGCTGAGTCAGATTTCCACCTCCCTATATCCCGAGGAAGGCGGCCTAGGTCAGAGTTCATTGGCGTTGCTGATTCAGCTTTTTCTCCATTCCCTCCTTTCCCCTCCCCGGCTGCCCACTTCAAGGGGAAGGCTTGAGTAAGACTGCAGAGTCCTTACATCAGCGTGTTCTGACTGGCCTTGTGATTTAAGTGGAGGCCCGCCCCCACTCTTCCCGGAAGTTGGGAGGAGGGTGGGGGGAAAAGAGACCGAGGGAAAAAATGAATGAGAATGAATTGCTGGGAGACCCTTCGGCTCTTATAACCTATCCAAAATCCAACGCACCCTTCCTGCCCTTGTAGGGTTGAAGGCACATCTCGATTACCTGAGCACCCTGAAGGTGAAGGCGTTGGTATTGGGGCCCATCCACCAGAACCTTGAAGATGACCTTGCTAAGACCAACCTGCTGCAGATCGACCCCACCTTTGGCTCCCAGGAAGAGTTCACCCAACTCTTGGAAGCAGCCAAGAAAAAGAGTGGGTGGTCCTGAAGAAAGGGGAGGGAAGTGGGTGACACCGGGCCTAGGAAGCCTCCCGACACTCTTATTTGTCCTGAGGGAAGGAGAAGCTCCTTTCTGCCTGGGTAACTCTAGGGTGAGAGGGAAGAAGCCTGAGGTCCAGTGTGAATCCAGGCTCTGCCTTTGATGTTTGTCTTTCTGAATCCTCTGTAAAATAAGGGGGCTGCTGACCAGGTGACCTAGGAACCCATGGGCCCCTGAGGGTGGGGGATACTTGCATCTGTGGACGTTTGGGGGTCAAGGTTAAGGAGCAGGAGTGAAATTTTCTCCTGGTGCCCTCCTGACTGGCCGCCCACCTGGCCATTTTTCCAGATATCCAGATCATTCTAGATCTTACCCCCAACTACCGAAGCCAGAGCAGCTGGTTTCCGCCCAATCAGAATGAAGATGTGAATGGGAAGATGAAGGTGAGGGCTCTGGGGGAGACGGAGGACTCACAGGGGTTTGTGGGTGGTAGAGGAGAGCTGTGGGGCCTCACAGGGGTTTGTGGGTGGTAGAGGAGAGCTGTGGGGCCTGTTTGAAGTCTGCCCTCAGGAAAGTCACATTTCATAGATAAGGAAGGAGAGATTAAGTTGGCTCCAGGCCTCCCACTCCTTTCTAGTCCTGGTCTTGTTACAGATCTTTCTTTGTCTTCTGCTTTATCTGCTGAGTGTTGGGGGCGGGGCAAGTTTGAGAGTGAGGGGGTTTCTTGGGTATTCTTTAGGAAGATAATTTTTTTGCATTTGTTTGAGGGGCCTTTTCACACTAGGTCTTGGTTTCATCTCAACCTGAGCCCCAAATTGGGAGTGAGTAGAAAAATGGATTTAACAGAATCGCCCCATGGAAGAGATTTGGATTTGCCCCATGTAGTTGGAAAGGGTAAAAGAAAGTCCAAGGGACAGAGAAGGGCAGATAAAACCTTTCAAAGGAGAGGTGGATGACCTGACTAATAAGGCTGCTTTATGGATGCCAGTGATTCTTGCTACAATCCACACAGGCCTGGGCCTGTCTATTCTGAATATTCTGGTCTGAGCTGTTGGCCTAATCATCTTGGGCAAGAGTAATGCTTCCCCTCCCTCCCCAAATATGCAGAAGTATACTGGAGGGGTGGAGGTGGTGGTGGGGGCAGGGGCAGGACTTCATCAAGGCTTTTCAGGGCTTGAAGGTGAGCCTGGGCCTAATTCTATAGATATATAAAGATGGCTAGAGTCCCTTTACCAGAGGGCCCACCAGGGAATTTGACATAATTGTTAAAAGTCACTTCTATAACTGAATGGAAGACCTGAGTCTGGGCCCGGAGTGAGATCGTTACAGAAGTGGGGAGCCCATGAGTGTGGAATACATTTGAAAGTTTCCTGCTGCGTTTTCTGAATTTATCCCTTTCTCCCTCCTTTCCCCACTTCGCTATCCCTTATGAGAAAGCTTTATAAAATCTGCCAGCCAAAGGTCTGGCCTCTGTCCCCTGAGGGCATGTGCTGGTCCCACCTCATTGATGTGGTCCTTGGTTTTGCCACTGCTCTTAGTGAAGTCTGGGATTCAAATTTTGCTTCTGTCCTTGGCTATGTGAGACTGAGCAGATCCCTTTATCTCTGGTACTCTAGACGAGTGGGTTCAAACTCAAGTAGAGATTGGACATGTATTGACTTTGAAAACCACATATCAGCATTGTCTGTGTTGAATTGTAATTTCATTTATTCCTTAATCATTTCCCAATTACATTTTAATTCGGTTCTGGCCGAAGGCCCGAGTTTGGACGCCTTAGCTCTAGACAAGTCTCTAAGAACAGAAGGGACTGGCCTGTGTTAGCCGTAGGAGTTTTCTCTCCCAGGAGTGCCCAGCGTGAGGCACTCTTTACCCCCTGGGTAGGGGATGTTAGGAAACTGAAGGCGATAGTAAAGTAGAAATCGGCTCCTGGGGCTGGTTTCCAGTTGGTGAGAACAACGTGGGCAGGGCATGATGCAGGGAAGACCCGTGCGAGACAGCTGTGCTCTGCTCCAGGTCGTTGGGGCTCTGCTAGGCTGCTGCATTTCCATGACATCGTTACCATTTCTCTTTCCCTGCCCCACAGGAAGCCCTGAGCTTTTGGCTGAAGGCTGGCGTGAGTGGTGTCCAGGTCCACAATGTCCAGAACCTTGCTGTGAGTGCCCTGCTTCCCTCCCCTGGGGGCGAGGGGCCTCTTCAGTTCTGGGAGAGAGGTCCTCCGCTGCCCACCTGACATGGCCGTCTCACTGCTCTCCCCACAGGACGCTTCTTCATTCCTGCCTCGCTGGAATAACCTCACTCATAGCATCGACGAAGACAAGTGAGTAACAGAAACGTTCTGGTGAGAAAGTCTGGGGCTGGTGTTGGTCCCCCACCTGCGTTGGGAAGCCTCAGTAACAGCTCACCCCCAGGGGTCTTTTTTTCTTTTTTAAGGCAGTTGGGGTGAAGTGACTTGCCCAGGGTCACACAGCTAGGAAGTGTCCAGTGTTTGGTCTGAGGCCGGATTTGAACTCGGGTCCTCCTGACTTCAGGGCCGGTGCTCTCTCCACTGCACCACCCAGCTGCCCCTCCCAGGGGTCTTTATCTTTGAAAGAAGCAGCTGGTCCTTTCCCCCTCCAAGTAATGTTCCTCACTTAGTTAACTTTTAATGTAATCTCACTTTGTTTTCCATCTCTGCCCTCTTCCCTCCCCCCCCCCCCCCCCCCCCCCCCGCAGGGTCCTGATTGCAGGAACAGGAGCCTCAAACCTCTCTGAGATCCTGAGCCTGCTGAATGAGACCGACCTGCTGAGCAGCTCCTATCTGGAGGACTTTGAGAGAAGGAGCTCCTCAGGGCAAGAGCTGAAAGAACTGGTCAGTGACTACCTGAGTGCTGCTGGTGGCCGCTGGTGCAGCTGGACAGTGAGTGGAGGCCTTCTGGAGCCTTGGGGCAAGGCTGGGGGCTGGGGGGAGGGATGGAGAGCCTCCGTTTCCTTCTCTGTAAAAGGAGCTTCCAGGAGGGTACTTGGAGATCCAGCTGGCCCATAACTTGGAGCTGTATGGAGGGAACTCTTGGGAACCTTTGCTCGTATGGTGAGGTGACTGAGGTCCTGAGTGGTTAAAGGAATTGCTCTGGGTCACAGCTGTTGAGTCCCTGGCGGCAGCACTGGAACCCGGGTCTTGGGTCCAGGTTCTGCCACCTGCTGCACACTGGCTGCCTCATGTCATAGGCAGTGGGAAGCCCCTGAAAGGGGTTGGTATGACTTGAAAGGGAGATAGAGGCAGCTACAGGAGAAGGGAGATCTAGGGAAGAAGGAAACAAACTGCCAGGCGCTGGGTGCTGTAATTAGCGTCTCATTTGGTCCTAGCGACAGCCCTGGGAGGGAGGTGCTGTTCTTGTTCCCAATTTGCAGATGAGGAAACTGAGGCAAGCAGAGGTTCAATGACTTCCCCAGGGTCACACAGCTAGCGAAAGTGTCTGAGATCACATTTGAACTCAGGTCTTCCTGAGCTCTGGAGCCCGTAATGCTCCTCTCCCCCATAGCTGCTGGATAGGGAGGTTATGGGAGAAGGGGGGAAGGCATGGCTGACCCCAGGAAATCTCTTCTTCTTGTGACAGTCCTCTCAGGTCGGCC